ACTCACAAACCGTGAGATACTGACCTGAGCCCAAACCAAGAGTCAGAGGCTTAACTGTCTGAGCCACCCAGACGCCCCTTAGTTTTTCTTTATCCCATTATGTTTTTCTTTTATTTTTGAGAGAGAGTGCGAGCAGGGGAGTGGCAGAGAGACAGGGAGACACAGAATCCAAAGCAGGTTCCAGGCTCTGAGCTGTCAGCACAGAGCCTGATGCAGGGCTTGAGCCCACAAACCACAAGATCATGACCTAAGCCAAAGTCGGACACTAAAACGACTGAGACACAAAGGTGCCCCGATTTTTAAGATTCTTAAAAGCAAAAGAAATAAGACACAAAAGAGTGTGATTTGATTTAGACACACACAAAATAGGCAAGCATGATCCATACTGTTAGAAATCAGGACAGTGAGGGGCGTCTGGGTAGCTCAGTTGGTAAAGTGTGCAACTCTTGATCTTGGGGTTGTAAGTTTGAAAAAAAAAATGTTTTTTGATGTTTATTTTTGAAAGAGTGAAAGAGAGAGACAGACGTAAGCGGGGGAGGGACAGAGAGAGAGAAGGGGACACAGAATCTGAAGCAGGCTCCAGGCTCTGAGCTGTCAGCACAGAGCCGCCCGATGTGGAGCTGGAACCCAGGAACCATGAGAGCATGACCTGAATCAAAGTCGGATGCTTAATCAACTGAGCCACCCAAGGCACCCCTAAGTGGCTGTAATTTTAAACCTCACATTAGGTGTAGAGATTACTTAGAAAAAAATCTTTAGGGGCACCTGGGTGGCTCAGTTGGTTAAGCATCCAACTCTTGATTTTGGCTCAGGTCATAATCTCACAGTTATGAGATCAAGCCCCATGTCAGGTTCTGCACTGGGCATGGAGCCTGCTTGAGATTCTCTCTCTCCTTCTCCCTCTGCCCCTCCCCCACTTGCACTCTCATGCTTGCTCTCTAAAACATATATGTGTGTGTGTGTGTGTGTGTGTGTGTGTGTGTGTGTGTGTGTGTGTATCTATATATATTTCAAGAAAAAAAAACTTAAAAAAATACAGGAAGAGAGCAAACACTGGGCACTTGAGTAAATGCTACACTTTCGTGGCCCCTGCTCCCTCCACTTACCTTGCCCAAAAGCTCTTCAAACTCTGGGGACCATTCCTGCATTAGCGTGTCAATATCAGGCATGGGCCTACAAACACAGAGGTAAATTATGAACAGGAAACGAGGACAGGTAACGGGTAACATCAGCAACCTCTGGGTCATGAGATTCTAGGATGAAGGAAGGTGGTCAGGCAGCCACATGAGGATTTCAGGCTGGCCGGATCCACAGAACCTCAGGTTGATCTGGTATGTCCTCAGCCTGTGGGCCCTCTTCTCAGAAGCAATGGATCCGTAAGTGGGGAAGGTCACCAGGGGTTCCTCTGGTGAAGAGTGTGTATTTCTTACCTGGTATAGTGCACAGTCGCAGGGGGCTTAGAACGGTGTAATTCTGAGATGCTCTCAATCCATGTGTCAATGGCTTTGGGATTCTTCTCTGCATCTTCTAGGCTCTTTACTTTCATATGTTGCTAGAAAAATAAGGGGAAACACTGGCTGATGACATTAAATAGCTCTCTTATTTTAACAGGATGGCTCATCATACGCTGTTGTTTCTTAAATAGCAGACAGCCGATGAATAGGGTAGCCTAACAGCAGCCAAGTGAAGATTAGAGGAAAACCTGATAAAATTTTCTGGAGCCATGGGAAGGGGGTGGATGAATAGGACAAGACTGACCACACTGAGATGGCATTTCATACCCCTAGGATGGCTACAATTCCTTTTTTTAAGTTTGTTTGGTTGTGTGTTTATTTAGAGTGAGCGTGCATGTGGGGGAGGGGCAGATAGAGGGAGAGAGAATCCCAAGCAGGCCCCACACTGTCAGCATGGAGCTGGATGTAGGGCTCAAACCCATGAACTGTGAGACCATGACCTGAGCCAGAGTTGGATGCCTAAGAAACTGAACCATCCAGGCGCCCCTAGGATGGCTAGAATTAAAAAGACAGACAATCACAAGTGTGAGTGAGGGATGTGGAGCAACTGGAATTCTCATTCCTTACTGGTGGAATAGTAAAATGGTTCAGCTACTTTGTGGTTTTTTTTGTTTTGTTTTGTTTTTTTAAGTTTATCTTTGAGAGAGAGAGAGAGCACAAGCAGGAGAGGGACAGAGAGAAAATGGGAGACAAAGAATCTGAAGCAGCCTCCAGGCTCTAAGCCGTCAACACAGAGCCTGATGTGGGGCTTGAACTCACGAATCGCGACATCATGACTTGAGCCAAAGTCAGACACTTAACTGACTGAGCCACCCAGGCACCCCAAAGGTGTGTTTTTAAATGAGACAGCAGTGATATTTATACATCTCTGTGAGTAAACTCACTGACCTGTACGATCTGAAAGGGCGAGTTTCATGGTAAGTAAATTATATCGCAATAAAACTTTTTAAAACTAGGGCTGGCCTGAAACCATAGCTACCCCTTTTGATAGTAAGTCAACTGCACAGATACCAGCGGGGCCTCTGGCCATCTCCAGCTGGGACCTGGACTGGACTAGTATCTTACTGTGACGTTGTGCTGTTTGGAATTCTCAGTCAACCAGAGAGAGAGCACTGTAGGGTCTGACTGCTTTGTAGAAGGCTCATCCAATACCAACAGGCCAAGGTTGTCTGGCTTTCCATCAGGACGTGGGACCTGGTTAAGAGAAAGCAAGAAAGAGGAAAAAATGGGGTTGGGCATACATAATAAGGCCATATCTGTTGTTTCCAATCAGCTGAAGAGGAAGAACTCTTCCGGTTCATCATTATTACTAGTATTAAAAAGCATGCTTGCATACCATGCTGTACTAAAATACGATCTACTACAAAACGCATGATCTATAGTGTCTTAAATATAAAGCTGATAATTAGGCAAATAAATGACAAATTTTTAACATATAATGGTAGAATGAAGTTATTACCTAATACAATGAATAGAATTTGGAGAGCAAGATTAAGAACGCCAGTGAAATGAAGAATGTATATGAAGGTAGCCAGTGCTAGCCAAGGAAATTAGTGGAATTGTTAAGAGTAAGAGAGGGGTCAGAAGAAACACCTAAGGAGTCATTTTTAGGATGTTTCGACTGTACCTTTAGGAATGCGTCAATATCCCCAACAGCGGGGATAAAATCAGGAATGAAAGGTTTCAGTTTGTGGTCCAGGTCGATCATCTGAGGGGTGTACCTAGGAGACATTGCCAAGGTTAGGTGGAGAAAGTCAGAGAAACGAACTTTACCGTTCAGGTTAAAAAAATCTAAGGAGAATGGCCCCATTTCAGACTGGAGGTAGGAAACGGGTGGGGAGGTCATGGGGGAAGGGCCTGGTGCTCACCTGCTGATATATTGGAAGAGTTCCTTAATCTCAGCCGAAACTGGCAAATGTTCATAATCTGTAGGATCATAGGCCCTGTGAAAAGGGAAATATGGTTCGAGGTGGCCAGAGAAGAGCAGACGTGGCCGAGCCCTGGTTCAGCCCCCTCCTCACTGACCACAGACTCCCTGACTCTGAACCTTGTTTCTGCCCTGCCCACAACTGCCCTTCCTGGGTGGTTCACAAGGCAACTTTAGAATGGATCATAATTAGCTTGGTTATCTCTGCCAGTGAAGAAGGAAAGAGTCGCAGAAAATGGAAAACAATTGCTAAACATTTTAGAACGAAGCATACATTTTGTTTCCCTTTTTTGAATGAAAGGGATGGAGAGAAAATATGGTATGAGATTGCAATTTTTTAAAATTCAAGTATAACTGACAACATGAGATTTCAATTTCTGACATGAAAATAATCTGTCCCAA